ATCTGTGTCTGCCTCGTCTCATCAACTGGCACTATGTTTTTTCAAGTTCTGTAAACAGAAAGCTACAGAAACAAAATCATCACCAAAAGTAGAAGATGATAAACTTTACGCTGCAAAATCTATTACTGTTCGGTTGCACTATTTTGTTGATTCACGGCATCACCAGATCGGCGGCGTCTTCACCCCCGGCGTACTCGCTCCTCGGAGTTTCACCTGATGGTTAGATTGCCTCAGCAAGCTCCCCTTCTCTCTCTCTCTCTCCCTCTCTCTCTCTCTACCATTTTAAACTTCTCTTTTCTCTGTGATTGTGTGTGAATGTGTGTAATGTGCAAGAAATGGCGCATTCAGCAAAAGAATGAACGAATAAAGTGGATGTGGTGCAGATTTGAGTTATTACAAGGAACTGTCATCGTCTGGTGGGATTAAATGCAAAGATGGATCGAAGAAATTCAACAAGTCACAGTTCAACGACGATTTCTGTGACTGCCCTGATGGTTCCGATGAGCCAGGTATCCTTATTCTCAATTCCCTTTTGAATATTGATGAAATACATGTGTTCATTACAACTTTAGAGTCCATTGTTATATGTACTCTAAGCATTGACTTCAGTAACTAGCTTTGTTTAGAAAATTAATTGTGAATTGTAGACTGGATTTGACTCAGGCCGGTGAATTGATTGTTTGGGCTGGTCTTTTTTAATCTTTTTTCAGGAACATCAGCTTGCCCAAGTGGGAAATTCTACTGCAAAAATGCTGGACATGCTCCAGTGATCGTATATTCATCGAGAGTTAATGATGGTATCTGTGGTAAGCTGACTTTATTTTGGGCAAGTATGTTTTGGGCTGGTTCTCCTCTGAGCTTCCTATGTCATTGAGAATGATCAGGTGCATTCTGCGAAGTGCAATTGTAATTTGTGAACCTGGTCTTGCTTAATGTTTACTATGCCATCTTTGTCGATCATCTTTTTCTTGTCATGTTATGCATGGGATTGTCTCATCGGAAAACAGAAGAAAGCTTATTCATCTACCACCTACATTTATGTTGCAGCCTTTTATTTACTGTTTTAGTTTGTGTCTGATTACTTATGACTTAAATTGTGGTATTTTACGACTGCTGCAGATTGTTGTGATGGGAGTGATGAGTATGATGGCAAGACTAAGTGCCCAAACACATGCTGGGAGGCAGGAAAAGTAGCAAGAGAAAA